TAATAATTTAAAATCAGTAAAAATTGAGTAGCGTTTTTATAGTAGATATTTGAAAACTTTTAAAAGAATTTTTTGCTATGCATTGTGGTATCACCTGGGGGATAACAAGGTATAAAAATCAAATTTTGCATTACAACTTTATGTAGCTTATGTTGAATGTAGTTCTTATTAATTTAAACTTTATGTAGCTTATGTTGAATGTAGTTCTGATTTATTTAAACTTTTAATATTTGTTAATGGATTTTAAGACAGTGTGTTTTGAAAATGACTGGGGAAATTTAGTAAAGGTTATAATGAATGAGTTTTCTGCAAAAGGTCTAAAACTTGATAATAAAGTAAATTTTTGTAAATTGAAGCTGAGTGACCTTCAATATTTTTTAAAATTATTGAAGAGCTATCATGGTTTTAGTAATTTAAATAAAGAAAAAGTATTAGAAAAAGTTATTTACGTTTGGAATGTTTTATATGTTCCAGGCAGTACCAGAACCCATTGCGTGTTTAGCAGTTTTTAAATTATCAAATATTGTCTATTAGATGAAAGCCGTTAATTTTTGTGTATAAATTTACGCTGATTATACTGCTTTTTTTTATGACCTCATAAAGTCAGTTCAAAAAATACAATCCTACTTGAACTTTACTGCTCGCAACTTAGAAATTTTTTGGTATGCTCATATTACCTGAATCTATCAAGAAACACGGCCCAGTGGACTAAACACGTAAAAACACGTCTTTTAAACGTTTTAGACGTCTTTTGAACGTTTTAGACGTCTTTTGAACGTTCAAAAGACGTCTTTTTTTGGTCCAATGCCCACAGGGGGGTTGAAGGAAGGACCCACAATAAACGTTCAGACGAAACGTCTTGGAGCGTTCTTAACTGATTTTAGATAAGACGCTGAAAGATGTCTTTTTAGGACATTATAAAGACGTCGTAAAAAGACCTAAATAAGACTTTCCGTTCAATTGCAGTTATACAAAATTTGTCAAGAAAATATGTCTTTTAAACGTTCAAAACACGTTTCGAATGTCTTCGAACGTTCAAAATAAATTTATTATGTAATGAGCGTCTAAATCAATCATAAAATTTGTAGGGTTTTTGGGACAAAAATTTAACATAGGAAAACATAACAGAAATGGCAACCAGCGTGCCTTTTATATAAAACTAATAAAACACAAAATTAAAAGTATACACAAGAATAAAACATATTTTAAATTACAAATCTAAAAAGCATCATAAAAAATGTTGTCGTGGTTTAGTTTTTCACGGTCATCGACGCCTTTTCACTCGACGCCTATTCACACGACGCCTTAGCACTCTTTATAGGATACCTCTAACGCAATTTTCAAGTTCGTTCTATAAATATTTGGTCATGGTCTCTGCAAACTACAAAAAATTATATATAAATAAGATTTATAGAATATAAAATAAAGAACTTATAAAAGATTCAATCAAGTTAACTTATACAAATGTGAAGGCTAACTGAACTATTATTATTATTGTTATTATTGCTATTATTATTATTATTATTATTATTATTATTATTATTATGTAATAAGTAATAAATACTTATTTTAACAATAGTAATAATGACAAAAATAACAACAATACTTAGGGCCTTAAGAAAAGTATTAAAAAGTTAATGTATTTGTTATTTTATTTTAATAAATTCGCCATTATTATTTATGCATAGTTGCATCTTTTCAAACCACTTCTTCAATGTTTTTCTATAGTGTTTAATAGGTATGCCTAGAAGTATCTTCATAATTTGACTTTTTTGATATTCAACTCCTGTATTATTGACAAGATCAGTTTTGATGCAGTTAAATAGCCAAAAATTTGATGAAGTCTGGCGAGTAAGGTAAGTGGCAAATAATATTGAATTTGGTTTAATCTATGAAAGTTTTTACTGCTTAATTTGCTAACTTTTAACCGCTAAATTTTCACGAAAAACTTTAACTCTTTCCTTTCGAATTTTTCTGTTAATTGGTGAGATATCCAACGTGATGATAATTTTCTCGGCCCTAGTGAGTCATTTCTCCGAACGTATATTGGTTAAAAGATGATTGCTTCATTATATCGTCAAAAGTTGAATGAGGATCATCTTCAATTATTTGCCGAACTAACTATATTTGCAGTTGTATGCACGGTAATGGGCGTCTAGAGCGTGGATCATCTTTTAAACTCACTCTTCTATTATTAAACAAAGCGGCCCATTTGGTAACTGTTTTAGTCCCCATAAACTTTTTTGAGCTTGTCGGATATCTAAGTTGACGGAATTCCAAGTAGAGCACGAGTTTTAATATATGTCCTTTAATATATTCTTTTTAATATATTCAAATTTTTTCGATTTATAAATTTTTTTAAACACAATAGTTTTTTTAATAAATTGCACAAATTTTCCTGACGCCTTAAGTAAAACCTTTTTGACGCCCTAAGTAATAACAACAATAGTATAATAGAAGGAGAGTTTCATAAATAGAGACAATTGGCTGGGTGAATAAAAATGAGCAACTGCTTTTACTCAGCAAGTGGTCAGCTTTACGTTAATAAAAACTTTTTTAGTTTTGCTCAAATTTTTATTAATGTATAGTTAAGCAGTTTACTCAATAATTGTTCAGCTTTACGCGAATAATTACAGCAGAATTGCTAAAGTTTTTACTCACGTAAGGCTGACCAATTACTGAGTAAAGTGCTTCTTTTTATTTAGCCGGCCTTATAACAGTAGCTACAAGAATTTAGCAAATAATGACAGGAACAACAAAGATTTAGTACAAAGTAGGGAATAGTTGAATGAAAAGAGATAAATAAATAGATAAATAAATAAAGAATGTCAAAATATTAGTATTAATATTAGAATAAAAAGTTTAATAAAAGTATATAAAATGGCAGATGCAGATGGATAAATATAAAAACCAAAATGTTGGTAATATTAAATTAAAAACTGAAGGATCATATATATATATATATATATATATATATATATATATATATATATATATATATATATATATATATATATATATATATATATATATATATATATATGATCCTTCAGTTTTTAATTTAATACAACTATAAAACATTTTTAAAACAAGCGGCGTGCAATATTTTAAGCCAGTAGAAGCTGGACCTCGCAAAAATGCAAGTGATAACGCAGCATTCAGTTTTTGAACCAGTTCTATGTCAAGATCTCAAAAAGTTTAAATTGTCTGCATCAGCTTGGTTATTAATACCTTTCATTAATCGGTCTGAAAGTGCTCGAACTGATAAGAATAAGAACAAATCTCAAACATTTTTTTGTGAATAAATTAAAATGTAAATGTATATTTTAGTTCTATTGGTTTAAGGTTAAGTGATTATATGGCTTTAAGATTAAAATATTTTATTTGTTTAAGAATGAGTTAAGGTTATTTAATCCACAACATATCTAAAGCTAAGCTGTTCAAGCCATGTAAATTACAGTGTGTGTAGATTTATGAAATATTATTTACAAATTGAATGAAAATAGACAACTAATAAATAATGATAAATAAATAATGATAAATTAATAAAACAGTAGTAATTTTATACATTTGTTCTTTACATATTGGCACGACCCGTACGATACGGGTCGTGCCAATTTTTACATATTGGCATGACAATTTTTTACATATTGGTTTGCTGTATTTGACGACTTACCTTACCATTTAAAAACATTTAACTACAAGCCGACTTAAAATAAATTTCAAGCAGTTTTTTCTAAAAAGAATTCTCTTTTTATCTTATTTACTAATGAGATTACTTATATTGCATAATAATCTTTAAATTATTTTTGGAGATGTTTAATGTTAATGTTTTACAAAAATTTAAATTTAAAAAATTATTATACATTTAAAAAATTATTATACAATTTTTAGTTTGAATTTTTATTCAGAAGTATAATTGATGTGTCGAATTCTTGTAATATTTTTTCTGCAAATATTAATTCGATATTATGTTTTTAAAAATAGTTTTATTTCGTCTTACGTTCCTGAGGCAAGTGCGCTACCACTGCGCCACGGCTGCTTATAATATATTATGCTGTTATGTTCTATAATATATTATGCTGAGATATAAATGTATGATTTAACCAGAAAAAATCAATGGTGCTTAAACATATTTTTAATGTTACTTTTGGGGGGCGGGGGTACAAAATCTGACATCATATACAAAGGGTGTATTGCCAAAAACTGACAGTGTTTGACAAAGAAGGGAGGGGGTTTAAAAATTGGGAAAAATCACAGACATCAATTATGGACACCCCCTTTTACTAAGTTGGAAAGTTTTTTAATTTTCCTTGAACGTTCTATAAACACCAAGAGCCACGCTTAACTCGGACATTTCCTAAGTCGTACGATTTATTTGTTCCCATTGAGAGTCCAAGTTAACGTGATTTTTCTGTATATACCCAGCAAACAAAAAGATATCTAAAGTGCATCTAATATGCATCTAAAAACTGATCTAAAAGATGTCTAAACTCAGGTCTAGAACGGGACATAAATAGACTTCTATCTTATAGACGTCTTTTAGATGCATTTTATTCGACACAAATAATTGCCTTAGATACATAAAAGATGTGAAATATACATCTTACAGATGCATATTAGATGTATAAAATACGTCTCTTAAATAAATGTCGAAGGCGCGTTTAAAAAAGATAGATAATAGATAATTTTTTAGTTAATAATAGCTCTTTTATGCATCTAATATACATCTTTAAATGTATATTTCACATCTTTTATGCATCTAAGGCATTTATTTGTGTTGAATAAAATGCATCTAAAAGACATCTATAAGATAGACATCTATTTATGTCCCGTTCACGACGTGAATTTAGACGTCTTTTAGACCAGTTTTTAGATGCATATTAGATGCATTTTAGATCTCTTTTTGTTTGCTGGGACTTGTTTGATACAAAGGTGTTACAGCGGTTAAATTAGTCATAAAAATGGATTAAATTAAAAAAGTAAAGAGACATTTTAAATAACATTACTTAACTTTCATTTCATAAAAATATACATAAGAAACTATATTTCTGCATTACCGTCAACATTTTCTTCCACGTCGCTTATATCTAAAATATATACATTAATGACATTTAAATGACTTTAAAAGACATATAGAATTCTGAATCTATTTTTATGAAATATTATATATATATATATATATATATATATATATTATATATATATATATATATATATATATATATATATATATATATATATATATATATATATATATACACACATACAGTATCGGACAAAACCAGTGCAACCAAATGATGCTAATTTAGTTTCTTTGTATAAAAGTGCTGCATTTTTTCAATTTAGAGAAATAACTATGTAACTGTTTAGAGACAACGTTCTTCAAACTTTAATCATCACAAAGTTCATTATTTGTACACAAAAATTAATAAATTAATCAAAAGTATTAAAAAAAGTTGATTTCCTTCTGGACAAAACAAGAGCAACTCCACGAAATGTCAACCAAGCTGCATTCATATCAATATTTTGTGGTGAATCCTTTGTTGTCAATCACAGCCTTGCATCTTTAAGGCATAGATTCGATCAGATGATCAATGAAACTTTGTGGAATCTGCTGCCTAGGCCTTTTGGATTTGTTCAAACAGTTGATCCTTATTACGAACGCATTCATGATTAACTCTGCAGTTGACGATCTTCCACAGGTTCTCGATAGGGTTGAGATCCGGAGATTGAGGCGACCAATCCATCACCAATAGATGGTTGTCTTGAAACCACTGCTTGACTGCTTTTGCAGTGTGTTTGGGATCGTTGTCTGAAAAACCAATTTTATTGGTATATTCCGCTGAAAAACCCATTTTATCGGTATATTCCATTCAGCATGAGGTAACATAACATCTTTCAGGATATTTTTATACATGAAACGGTCCATTATTCCATCGATTTGAAGTATTGGACCTAGACCGTTAGCAGAAAAACACCCCCAGACCATTACATTGCCTCCACCATGCTTCACATATATATGTGTATATGTATGCTGCAAAATGGCACTTGTCAACGAAATTCTGCCTGTGTGCTGTCACCTGTCAGCTGATTGCTCATATCATGGCATGCTATGACTCCAGACTCCTGAACTGTTTGCTGTGGTAGTATAGTTCGTTTCATTTTTAAGACATATAAAATTAGGAACACTTTTTAGCATTGTTCGATGTTGGTTGCAAATGTTTTGTCCAGTACTGTATATACACATATATACATGTATATATATATATATATATATATATATATATATATATATATATATATATATATATATATATATATATAAACGAGAAGATTTGTATCTCAACCAGATACAATAATAAACAACAATTTTTTATGAAAAAACTAAAGGAACTTGTATTATGGATACAAAAATTCTAGCATGACACAAAAAAAGTCGAAGAATATCTTTTTAATACAGATATCAGTTTTGTAAATACTATTAAAACTATACCTCGTAAAACACTTCATATATTTACTAGATTTTCTAAGCTTATCTTTTCCCCATTTCCTTTTCGATTTAATTTGGACTGTAACTGATTCGAAAATAACCTGATAAATATTTTAACAATAAACTGAAATATATAAAGATTTTTATTTTAATATATGTAATAAATTAAAATATATTTTAATATATGAATGCTTAAAATTATGAAAGGTAAAAGCATTAAATTCGAAAATAACATGCTAAACAAGGTTTAGCATTACACTTACTTTAGCACACAAACAAATCTAAACACCTACAGTGAAGCTCCCGAGTTTATCGAATTATCATGTTAAAAGTAAATCCATAACAAATAATGATAAAAAAGAATTGCTTTTGGTCCCTTTTAATCATAATTCTAATAATTAATAACAACATAATCATTTACCTTTTCATGATCAAAAAAATATGTTCTCTTGGCTTTCCACCACCTATCTTTTTTAAACTATCAAGCTGAAATAAATGTAATAAAAACTAGTGTAACTTAAATTTCTTTACAACAAATTGAATCTAACACAAGCTAGTTATTTTAATTCATTTACAAATACTTTTCATTTAGATTCTAAACTAATAAACCAAATTTAAACAAACATATTAAAAATTAAGATAATTAGATTATACCAAATTAGTATACTCAGTTTTATCTTTTAGTTTATTATCCAGTGTAACCACTTCTTCCACTGATTCTAGCAACTTCACCTCAGTAGCCTGAAATTTAATTTCTATAACTTCTTTTAAAAGAAGTTTTATTTCTGCAAGCTCCTTGAGAATAACATTTTGCATCTCTACAAACAAGAATAAAAAGATTGAAAAACATATTTAGCTCATAAACCAAATAGCAAAACAATGAAATAAGAACTTTAAAATTCAAATTATGCTTGAGTAACTCAAACTAAAATTCCAAAAATAAATGTAAGTTTTTTTATTACTCCATTGCAGAAGTTGCCATAATATTTTGAAAAACCTACTTTTTAAATCAGCTAAAACTTTATCCTGTAAAAGGTTACGATATTAAAGAATTTTGATTAACTACTAAAGGTAAAATGCTACACACATGATTTATCGGATCACAATATTATAAATAATTCATTTCTATTCTTTTATACCTTTCTTTTACAATTATTTTAAAACAAAAACAAATTAATAAAAAAGACCTCCACATTAACATTCCGTGGTGTAAAAACCAAAAGTACTCATATTAAAACTTGAAATTCTTTGACAATGTGAACTTTGCTTGGTTTTATTCTGTTCATTAATAAAATGTGAAGAAAACTTATCTTCTTCAATCTTTGAATCTGATAACAACTCTATTCAAAAAAAAATAATTATAATAAGAACTATAAATAATCCCTCAACCATACCTGTTACTTAATTTAATCTTTCAACCAATTTTGTACTCTTTCAATTTCTGAATTCAAACCATTTCAGCATACTTTCAATCAATTTTCAATTTTCAATCAAATTGATTAAAGGATTATTTAATACTATAGAATGTTGTCAATGATATAAATATATGTAACCAATTTAACAACATTACATATAATAGGACACCCAAATAGTTAAAATAAAAGGAAAAATAACACATAAAAAAAACTAATAGCTAGATAGATATTATTCAGATCAAATTAAACAAGTTGATGTTTAGGTTAATATTATGGCTGCATTTAAAATTTCTTGCAAGATCTCTATGCGACTGATATTTGCAAACTATAGATTTTCCTTTATATTTATCTTTAAATCTTTTTTTTTTCTACTTCCAGCTTCTTTTTTCAAAGATTAAGTCTGATCATAATTGGAAATAAGGATCAAAAAACATCAGTCAATTTTGAAATGTCAACTTCCGACAACGATTTTAAAAAGAAACATCTAAATACTATTGATTTTATACTTGCTTACTTATTTTCATCTAATAACAATGATCACCAATACTTATTACCATTACAATCAAACAACATCATTTCTGTTTCAACAACAAATTTCTGTGTGCAAAAAAATTTTAAAGTAAATTTTTAAAATAAATTTGCGCACTCGCAAAAAAAAAAACTTAAATTGTTCTTATATAATTTAGAATATGATTTCTGCATACAAAATAAACAAAGTTAATTACGTGATACTAAAAAAAGGGGTTTTAGTTAAAAACAAATTTTTTGATAAATGGGGGCACTTAAATTTGTTTTTGCTTTTTTTATAGTTTTGGTCAATTTTAAATTACTTTATTGTTATTTTAGATTTATAATCAGAGTAAATTTTTTAAATTCTAATTAAAGTAAAATTTAAACCTTTTTTAGAATTTTTTATATATGTATATGTAATTATATACAAATGTAACCTTCGGAATTAGAAAAAATGAGGTTGGCCGACCTCAATCTTTTAGAGGCTGGCATAAGGTCCGCAAAAAAAATTGATACAAAGGTCATACCCAATGATATATAGGCAAGGCGTACTTAAATAACAGGCCTTCTCATCGCGCAACGGCTTAAAAAATGTGGAGGCTGATTTAGTTAGCGGCAAAAGTTACTACGAATAACTTGTATCCCTACCAGAAGACTTAAAAATGCCCAGAAAATGTTGTGTTACTGGTTGTAACTCTAACTATGACTCAGTAAAAGATAAGACAACTACTTTCAGATTACCGAGAGATCCAGTAGAGCGTCTAAGATGGATTAAAGCAATCCCAAGAGAAAATATACCAGACAAACATGACACTGTAGTTTGTGCAAAACATTTTCCACCAAACTTCCAAGTTATTAAAGTAAAAGGAAGAGAAAGACCTCGAGATCCACCTAGTGTATTCGAACAAATACCCAAGAGTTTAGTGCCAACTCCTCCACCAGAAAAAAGAACAACAACAAAATCCAAAAGCTCTGTAAGATCAATAAAAGAAGATGAACTTTCAAAATTCGAAGAGCTTTACAAAATTGATTCATTCGAAAATTTTTGTAATTCGTTATCTCTAGAAAAACTTAATGATTCAGTTGTTTATTATAATTGTTTAAATAGCTGTTGTATTCAATCAAAAGAGCATGAAAACAATACTGGTATTAATAAATTTTGTTTAATAGTATTTAATGACTTATCATATGAAGCCTATCATGCTGGAGTAAGATGCACTATTGCTTCCTTAGTTAAAAATCGTATTCATAAATTCAAATGTTGCTCGCAAGTGCTGAGTTTACATCTGGTCATAATTGTGATAATTGTTTTTATAAACTTTCAGAAGATGAGTGTGAGATGTTTAATCATTTACATGAACTTTTAGACCAACTTTCATCGAATATTAAGTCATCTTTAGTTTACATTGCAGGTTATATTTCTAGAAAAGACAATGAAGATGATAACGATGACACTTATCTGTATTATAGTAATTATGGAAATTTTACATCTGCTCTAGATCATGGTGGTCTGAAAATACCCAGTGATACATTTTGTGAATGGGTATTCTTAAGTTACATTTTGTTTAATTTTGTTGGCACATCAAACTTTTGTAGATATTCTATGTCCTGCTTATTCATGGATATTGCATGTATTTATGGTTTCACCATAATTACAAGAAACCATTGTTATATTCTTACAAATATATTATTTAACAATTTTTGTTATATGCATTCACCTGCATCAGACAAGGAAACCAAAGTTAAATCTTTAAAACTGTTTTGTTAGCTTTTGTGAATAAATATACCATAAAAAGTTTCCAATTTAACTTTAGATTATATTTCGTTTAAAAATTGTTAATTTATATTTTTACTTTTTAATTCTTTCTGTTAATGTTTCATTGTATGCAAATACATAGAAGTAGCTTGGTTATCTTTTGTTATAGTTATTTTTGAACTTACAAGGTGTTTTTTTTTTTTTTACTTTCTTGACAAAATAACAATTATTTTTGTTTTATAAACGTTTTTGTAATAAAAATATCGACTTCTTTATAAAATGATAAAATATTATTTAGTAAAAAATGGCATGGTTTAAGCCTTACATTTTTCTTATCCTTAGTTTTTTATTTAATCAGGTTATGCATTTAGAGAAATAGACTATATAATCAAATCACAAGCTCCTACTATATTGTTAAAAGAATTTTTAAATATTTAAAACTTAAAAAAAAAATTGTTTAATAGTTGAGAGATTCAAAACCAAATCAGCCTCCGCATTTTTCAAGCCGTTGCGCGATGAGAAGGCCTGTTATTTAAGTACGCCTTGTATATAGGGTAAAGCGGGCTAAATCTGGCCGCGTCCTTATTCTGGCCGATTTTCAGAAGCACTAAAATATTTGATGGAGGATGAATTGGTCTGTTTTAAATAAAAAAGTATATTAATTTAACCTTGTAATTTTGAAATATGTACTTAAAATTCTTATATCGACTTGCTAATACTTCAGTAACATTTTAAAAGCATTTCATAAGTTTTATGTTTTCGTAAGCTCGATGTTTGCAATTTTCAAACTTGTAATGATTACATTCAAATGTAATGGGTTTGTAAATCGCTTGAACTGAAAGTAATATTGGCATATAATTTTGTTAAAACTGTATATGTATTTATGCGTATTTTGTATATTGTTAAATAATTCTTTTTTATTTGAAAATTTATATGTACAATATTAAAGTATAATTTTTAGCGATTGTCCTATATCTGGCCAATGATTAGTCTCAATTCTGGCCATATATATGTACAATAACTTTATATAATTTTTATTTAATTTATATATATATATATATATATATATATATATATATATATATATATATATATATATATATATATATGTATATATATATATATATATAAATATATATATATATATATATATATATTTATATATATATATATATATATATATATATGTATATATATATATATATATGTATATAATATATATGTGTATATATATATCATATATATGGTATGTTACATGAAATCATTTCATGTAACATATATATTACATACATATATATATATATATATATATATATATATATATATATATATATATATATATATATATATATATATATATATATATATTATGTATATAATTATATATATGTATTTATATATTATATATATACATATATTATATTATAATATATGTATATATATAATATATATATATATATATATATATATATATATATATATATATATATATGTATATATGTATTTATATATACATATATGTATATATATATATGTATACATATATGTATATAATATATATGTTACATGAAATGATTTCATGTAACATACCATATATATATATATACACATATATATTATATACGTATATATATATATATATATATATATATATATATATATATATATATATATATATATATATATATGAAATATGATATATTATGATAATATGAAATATGAAAAACCATTTAAGCCACACCAAGTGTGAAATCATGAACGTTTAACTAAATATTATATATATAAATTTATACATATATATATATATATATATATATATATATATATATATATAAATATATATATATATATATATATATATATATATATATATATATATACATGCATATATATATATATATATATATATGTATATATATATATATATATATATATATATATATATATATATATATATATGTATATATATATATATATATATATATGTTACATATAAACATAAACATATACTATTATAAATATTACATTATTGCTGTTAATAATATAATCTTACATATACAGTAAGATAAATGTAAAAAACAGACAGCATTAGCCACAAGAATCATAATAATTTTATTTTTTTCAATTTTCTTTAGAATGGAAAAAATGAAGAAAAATAAAATAGTTAAAAATAATTCAAAGAAAATCAAAGTGCCTAGAAGTAAACGTGGAAAACACTGTGTATGGAATAATGCATCTATGATATCAGCAGTTGAAGCTGTAAGAAATGGATTTTCACAGAGAGCTGCTTGTAAAACTTTTGGCGTTCCAAGAAGTTCCTTGCAAGTTCGACTATCTGGAGTAACCGAAATTGGAGCCAAACCCAGACATCCAACTACTCTAACTGCAGAAGAAGAAAATAAAATAGTAGATTTTGCATGCAATCGTGCATCTTTAGGAATAGGATTCGGTCGATCTCAATTTTTTAAATATGCAGAAAACTTTGCTTTAAAACGTAAAAAATCATTTAAGAATGGAACACCTTCTGAAAAATGGTGGCGTGGAATGTGCAAAAGTCACAAGTACTTTACTTTACGTCAACTAGAAGGAACAGCTGCTATTAGACATCAATGTATGAATGCTTCTAAAGTTTCGAAATATTTTTCTGTTCTCAAAAATGTATTAATGGAAAACAACTTAAATAATAAACCACAA